GCAAAGGGTGACAAAGAGAGGCCCTGGAGTCAGAGGTCACCTCCTTGTCTTATTTTTAGGTCTTCCGGACCTGGTGCCGGACCCCTACTACATCCAGGCATCTACATATGTGCAGAAGATGTCTATGTACAACTTGAGATGCGCTGCGGAAGAGAACTGCCTGGCCAGGTATGGATTTCCACAGCCCGGCTCCCCATTTTGATCCCGGGATCACCCTGACGCCTAGTTCTGACTGCTATGTTAGTGCAGACAAGGGCTAGGAAGTGGGGCAAGGGCTGGGAAAGTGGGACGTGACCTCCTGGGCATGCTGACTTGGACAGAAAGTTAAATTGGAATGTTTTTATGGGTGCCGCCTCATTAAGAGGCTCGTATCGGGGGAGGGGGCAAAAATTCGTATTCTGGAGACTGGGTCTCAGGTTCTTTCCCAAGGCTCCTATTAGAAATTGGCGCCAACTATTTCCAACAGCTTTCTATAAAAGAGGAACTCAACAATCAACAACCCCGGAAAAATAAAAAGGAAGCGCTCGTTATTATTCTCCAATGGTCTAGGGGTGTCTTCGCCATGGTGGCGCCCCCCATTGGTAAAGACCGCATTCCACATTTCTTTCAGACCATGATTAACTGGGTTGTTTTGGTATAAGACCATGAGCAAGAATTATATTTTCCGTCAGTCCCAAAATAAAACAGCTATTCTGGACTTGGAATTCTCCGATTTTGCGGCTGGCAACCAGCAGAGGGAGCATAGGATGCTTGCATAGTTCTAGTGGTACTTTAAGTAAAATGGGTCACCAACAGTATTCCAAGCCAGACAGACAAAAATATAGTACCATCCCAGAAGTGTTTATATAAACATTTTTTCCACGTTGACTTTTGTACAACCGTGTGGCTACAGGAAGAAATTCAAGCTCATTTTCATTCCCGAGTCTTGCATGATCCACACCACTGAACCCACGGAAGATATTAAAGAAGGGTTCCCTGTCTTATAATGAAGCATAAAGCTGTTTATCTATCTATCTATCTATCTATCTATCTATCTATCTATCTATCTATCTACCTATCTATCTAAAGCTAGCTGCCTTACTTTGGAGTGTTTCTCCACTTTGTATCTTAGGTCTATCAACTTATTAATAGATATCTATGGATTTTTTGGCACATGATCATTACTATAGCAATTTCATAGTTTTTAGATGTAGTATCTTGTCAATAATTTTTTTCAGTGGAAATCCTAATTTCTGGCTCTGTAGGTTTTTTACTGTTGTTCTTCATCCACTCATTCACCACATAGTCACTATGTTTTTATCCTTCCAGGATGGGACAGGAGCTCAAGATTGTCTCTTTGAGCCATGAGGCTAGTTGGGGAAAGGGGGACAGTGTGCCACTACCATGTAATGGTGAGCTGTTTGTTCTAGTTTTGTTTTTTCATCGGTATTCACTGGATCTAATGTTTCTTTTCTAAACTCCCAGTTCAGCATATAGGGCGGATGTCAGAGACTATGATCACAGGGTACTGCTACGATTTCCCCAAAGAGTGAAAAACCAAGGCACATCTGACTTTTTACCAAGCCGTCCTCGATATTCCTGGGAGTGGCACAGCTGTCACCAGTAAGTGGATGGGCCTCTCCGTACTTCTGGGATTCTCTTACATTTTTCAGACGATTATTCACATGCCTTACCTAAAGCTAGAGATTTGGTATTGTTTATACTTAGAACTTCTACTATTCGGTTTGATATCATCAACGGATGTTAAACCTTAAAGACAGCCCCTTCACCACTAAATCCCATTATCTTTGTACCTGGAAAGTTAAGCCAGGCTCTTTAAAACTGTTGAAAGGACACAACAGTGGCTGTCAGTACAATCTACTATTATGTAGAAATAGCTGCTATAGATAAGATCATCTACAAGCTCATCCAAAGCTGGTTAGCCTTAACAAGCATTTAATAAATGCACAGCATCTTTTACCTATAGGATTCAGAGACCATTCTCAATGGAACACACACGAGATAGATTTCAAGAACCCATCCACTTCCACCTTTTGAAAGGCCCATATCAGCTAGAGTGGTTGCCCTACCCTTTCTAAATTTAAAGGTTTTCATTTTTAAATTGCACGTGGTTATACCATCATTTGCCTAGGTAATGTGCCCAACTGTTCAGTGCCAGGAAACCCTGAAGTGTGGTCTCCTACTTACAGAAATTCAAACCCTTCCTCCTTGTAGCCTCTCCCCCTTGTGAGATGAGAAAGAGCTCAGAAGCCTTCTAGTTAATGAATAGAGAAAATTTAATATGCACAATTTGCATATTAAAATAAAAATACCTTATTTTGAAATGAAAGTTTGTGCTGTTTAAATAATAGTAGTAGAAAAACCCAGTTATTTTCCTCTTGCATTTCCAAAGAGATTTTACAACGTTGTCACTCTAGTCTTTAGACTTTCATAGCAAGCCCTCCAGAGTAAAACTCTTGTCTGAAATCATCATCATAACACCAACATCAGCAGTGTGAGCCAAAGAAATAAACATGAGACTCCACAGGTTACAAGCATAGATAATGAAGTTTATCTTAATTTAATGTTCAAAGACAAAACCCTGTATAAAGGAACAGATACTCTGTCTTTACCAAGAAATAAAGTTAAAAGTTTGCAATTTTGATAGATTTATGTCTTTCTTGAAAAAAAATCTAGC